CTATAATTTTTCACAGCTTCCTTAGGATTTGCTATATAGGGAATGGTTAGATTCTTTCTTCAGATTTCTGAGCAGAAACACCACCAAAACAAAACCAAACATAGTTTCAAATCCAAGCAGCTTGAAAGTTGATGTTAGATTGTTTCTGTCCTAAGAACCTTAAAAGCAGGAACACATTTCATTAAGGCTGCCTTTCTTTTTTGCACCTTTGAAATGACTATCATGGACATATTTATAAAAGGTGCATTATTAACCCAGCTATGACCACTTGTCCTTTGGTGGCCAAGTTCAAGGCTTGCATACCAGGGAAGGGAAGTAGTGTTGGTAGAGATGAGGGGAGTTCTTGATAAAGGAGCTACTGATTTGTGTCCATGGTAGCATATAATGTAAGGTCAGTGATGAAAGATTAAATGTCTGAAAAGGATTGTTTTAAACAGTGCCATCTTCTAGGGATGTGCTTGAGGAGCAAATTAAAGGTGTTTTTTTTAAATTTATTTATTTGAGAGCGAGCGCACACGATCAAGGGCAGAGGGAGAGGGAGAAGCAGACTCCCCTGCTGAGCAGGGAGCCCGATGCGGGACTCGATCCCAGGACCCTAGGATCATGACCTGGGCTGAAGGCAGACCATCTGAGCCACTAGGCATCTTGAGGAGCAAATTACAATGTTTATGATATGGGAAGGGAGGGAGATACAAAAGGTAATATTTTTACACAGATGAAAATGAGCATCTAGTAAAGGTTGGCATATGAGCTGGGTTTCTTGGATTATAAAAGTTCAACTCAAACTAGCAAAAAAGAGTTGTTGGCTCACATAACTGGACTTAAGATAAAAGTAGAACCAGCCTTATGTATATGTGAAATATAAGACTTGAATATTATCTTGTATTCTTGTCTGCTTTCTCTGTCTCTGCAAATTGTGTTTATTTTCTTAAATTATTTTTTCCACATGGCCGAGACAAGCTCAACACACATTCTTACAGCTCTTCTTCTTCTTCTTTTTAGAGAGCGAGAGCATGTGTGTGTGAACTGAGGGGGAGGGGGGCTGAGGTAGAGGGAGAGAGAGAATCTTAAGCAGGTTCCACACTAAGCACGAAGCCAGGTGTGGGGCTCGATCTCACCACCATGAGATCATGACCTGAGCTGAAACCAAGACTCAGAGGCCTAACCGATTAAGCCACATAGGCACCCCTAAAGTTCACTTTCTTGATCAGGATGTGAAGGATCATATGATTCCAAATTTTCTATAATAAAATAAATATAGTTGAAGTGATTATTCATTAGGCACTCCCCCCATTGCATCAGTCCTTAAAGTTACATTCAAAAATTACATCTGTAGTGTAGCTAGGGGGTGCCTGGGTGGTTCAGTCATTAAGCGTCTGCCTTCCGCTCAGGTCATGATCCCAGGGTCCTGGGATCGAGGCCCGCATTGGGCTCCCTGCTCCATGGGAAGTCTTCTTCTCCCTTTCCCACTCCCCCAGCTTGTGTTCCCTCTCTGTCAAATAAATAAATAAATAAATAAAATCTTAAAAAAAAAAAAAAAAGTAGTGTACCTAGATGGCATGTTCTAGGATTTTCTAAAATAGAAAAGTCATCTTTCCCCCAAGTATGTTCCTGTCCTCTTTTCTTGGTTGTGTGTTCTAACTGTTGAACTTGTCTTAAAATCAGAAAACCCGAATGGAGAATGGAACTTTTCCAAAATTTCCCATGTTTCTCCATCCAAGTCTCTCTCATGAGTGAAGTATAATTGCACATTTACAATGATGCCTTACTTATTGAATAGTGATATTCAGGACATTGTCAGCACTAACATTCTTTTATAAGTCAAGAATATACTTTTGAGGGGCGCCTGGGTGACTCAGTTGTTAAGCGTCTGCCTTCTGCTCAGGTCATGATCCCAGGGTCCTGGGATCGAGCCCCGCATTGGGCTCCCTGCTCAGTGGGAGGCCTTTCTCTCCCTCTCCCACTCCCCCTGTTGTGTTCCCTCACTCTGTCATTCTCTGTCAAATAAATAAAATCTTAAAAAAAAATAGAATATACTTTTGAAAAAGTTGGAAAAGAATGATAGCTACTTAACTGATTACAGAAGTATCTAAACAGCATTCTGGACTTACTCTGACTTACTAAAAATAGGAATTAGTTTTTGAAGAAGATGATAAAATGCATAAGTCTTTGATTCTTTGCTATGTAAAATTATAATTTTACACATGAGACAAAAGTACAACATAGTTTACTTGTAGTGTAATTTACATAATTAAACCTAGAAAATTCAGGCTGAACAAAACTTTACAGAACTGTTATTATTGTGACTCAGTTGATATAGACTTGAGGTTTTGAAAATGTAATGTTCTTATATATTTTAAATCCTACAGTATAGCCTTAAATCTCTAGACCTAAGGGGATATAATCAAAGGAGTATTGAAGGAGGAGAAAATGTCTGTCAATCATTGCATTTGGACTGAGAAGATCATCTGAACTTTAATATTGGAATCCTGACACTTGGGCTTCAAAAGAGAAACTTTCAATTGGCTATTGATATAAATTAGTAAAAAGCCTATGTAGATCTTGAAGACACTTCTCTAGTTCCCCATTCCCACTTCCAATTTCCAAACAGCAGAGAGAAAAGGAAGGAGAATATTGAAACATTTTCATTTTCTTCAGTAAAGAAATGAAACCCTAATGAAAATGTACTTTTACAAATCACTGAGGGAAACAGGGTCAGGGAAACTGTTTAAGAAGTCTCTTACTATTGGCAGATGAAGATTCATTTCCTTTTCTGCTAGAAAATAAGAGGTGCATTCTTCTCCCAGCAGTTTCCCTGTAGAATACATAAGTGAGACACTGTGGGGTCTAAACAGCAGTAGGATGGAGCCTTTCCCTTGTTTCAGGCTTTGTTTGGTCTGGCTGTGTCTTGTATGTTGCAGCACCACATCTCATCCCCACCATCTCCAGTCAGAATTTATGGTAGTTTCATTTTCCCATCTAATGCAATTTTGCTTGGGCCAACTGATTGTATTTCAGTTTGGTTTGGGTTATAATTTAACTTAAAAACGAGGCACCAAGGTACGAGGACCATACTACAAGTTATTTTCATTGTGTAGCTTCTGAAGACAACTGCACAGAAGAAGAATGTTCAGATAGCAAAATACTTACTTGATTATGAAAAATTGGCTATTTCTGAGAGAAAGGGGACAGGGGCAGAGGGAGAAGCAGACTTCCCACTGAGCATGGAGCCCAACATGGGACTTGATCCCAGGACCCCGAGATCATGACCTGAGCCGAAGGTAGACAGTTAACAAACTGAGCCACCCAGGTGCCCCTATATTTAACTTATTTTCTTTGATTTGGCATTAAACAAGTAAAACTCAAATCTTCTTTCTTTACAGTCAAGTTTGCAAGCATTTTACATAGGTTATTTACTCTCTTTGAATTAAGATGTGCTTAATTGCGGGGTAAATTTGTTAAGACTTGGTACTGTTAGGTGGAGAAGCAAGTTGTATTTCATTTTTATAAATGGATTATCCTTACTTGATTTGAATAGATGAACCCAGTTGGATTCGGAAACATTATTATTTTAAAGTAGGCACAATAAATTATTAGCCTTGAATAACTAGTAGTATATTATTCTTTCCTGTTTGAAATTACCTGTAGTTGTGGGACTGTTAGACATCTTTTTACCTGATGCTGATGTGGTTATGATAGATGCTCATACATTTTCACTGTCTTCAAGTAAGATAATTGACTTTAAATTTTAGCAACTAGGAAACCATTGAGGATATATCACTTTTCAGTTGTGATTCCTGCCTTTGTTAAGTCTCCTTGACAGATTGATGAATTTCCATTTTATGTTATAGTGAACGTTCCCTAAGTTTGAATTCACCAAAATTTAATAAGGATCCTAGTTCTTTTTTTGAAAGTGAATATTTATAAGGTATACCAGACTCGTTGACAAAAGTTTATTTCTTGGCACTTTGCATTTGCCAATTCTATAATTTTTGAAAGTGTTGACAGATTTTTAATAGATTACTCTTCCTTAGAACTAGAAATGACCTAATCCCACACCCAACCATTTTCCTTTTATAGATAAGGAACCAAGGCCCAAATAATACCTAGAAAGTATATACTAGAACCTTCTGTTACTCCTTTATCACAGAGCAGACTGTCAGTAGATTATTAAAATAACTAATTAAATTTGTGGGTCAGAGCTCTTTTGAAATGAAATAGTTGCTCATGTCAGATCTTTTGTGATAATACTATTTTGTGGTAATAGTGAGTCCAAAGATTATTATTTTTTTCATTAGTCATCATAAGAATTAAACAGAAAATATAGCATCATATGCCAAAGTGGTGTAAAACAGGGCAGGAGTGATTAATTCTTTTTCTTCTAATGATAGAAATCTGTTATGGTAGTTATTAGTTATTGTTTGTATCATAACTCGTACAAGTGAAAGGTACTGACATAGAATACAATAAAGGGGAAAAATACCAACATTGAGTACATCTTCATACATCAGTAAGGACACGTTTGCAACTAATGAATCACTAAATTCTACCCCTGAAACTAATAATACACTATATGTTAACTAAATTGAATTTAAATAAAATTTTTTTAAAAAGACAAATGTATATTGTTCAATCATTTTAATTGGATGGACATTTCATTATTTAACCAGTCACCTATTGTTAGACATGTAGGGCTTTTTTCCTAACTACTTTTCACCATTATGAGAAGCTTTCCAATACCATTTTTGTATATAGTCTTACTTAGTCTGATTATTTCTGTAGAGAAAATTCCTGGAAATAGAATTGCTGCGTCAAAAAGTTCACTCATCTTTCAAGAGTTTAGGTATACAAGGCCAGATTACTCTAAAGAAATGTATAATTAGCACCTTTTATCAGTAGTGTAATTTTTGCTAAGTCTATGGAGAAAAAAACAATATAGCTCATGGTTTCAGTATTAACGTCATTCCTTTTATTGGTGAAGTAGAGCACCATTGCCTCTGTTTTTTATTTTTATTTTTATTTTTATTTTATTTTATTTTATTTTTTTAAACCAGAACGTTTATTGTGTGACTAATCGTTGAAATCCTTAAGATGAACTGGATGCTGCAACAGCTGCCCTCTTGGGCTTAGGTGTTGTTCCTTCACGGAATCCATGCCTGAATCTGCGGTATACAATTTTTAGGTGCCTCATTCGACCGGTCCCAGTGGTGTTTTGTCTTTTAGCCTTGGCACTCCAGTTATACTTTCTCTTGCGCTTGGCAGGATAGCCGCATTTGCCACAGGTGGACTTCTGAAGGTAGTAGGCCTTCGAGCCACAGCGGCGGCACAACGTGTGCGTCTTATTGCGACGCTTTCCAAACGATGACGTACCCTTCGTCATCTTGTTTCCGCGGCAGACCCAAAGAGCTGTTTTTTATTTTTTTAATTAAAGTTATATTGGGGCGCCTGGGTGGCTCAGTTGGTAAGCATTTGCCTTCTGCTCAGGTCGTGATCTCAGAGTCTTGGGATCAGGCCCCATGTCGGGCTCCCTGCTTAGTGGGGAATCTGCCTCTGCTCTGCCCCTCCTCTCTGCTCGTGCTCTCTCCCTGGCTCTCTGGCGCGCTCTCTCAAATAAATGGGTAAAATCTTTAAAAAAAAAAAAAGTTATATTTACATACAATAAAATTCATTCATTTTAATTACACAGTTTGATGAATTTTTGTAATTATATATAATTGTGCAACCACCACCACAGTGAAGACATAGAATAGGTCTCTAATCCTAAGAAGTTTCTTCCCATGCCTTTACCGTCAGTCCCCATCTGTAACCCCAGGCAACCATTGATCTGCTTTCTGTCACTGTAGTTTCGTCTTTTCTAGAGTTTCAAACAAATGGAATCATAGAGTACATTGCCTTTTGTGTTTCGCTTCTTTTAGCATAATGTTTTGAGATTCATCCGCATTGTTTTGTTTAATATTATTTCATTTGTTTGTAGTATTGTGTTCTATAACATGGATGCGCTAAAGTGTATTCAAACTGATGGGCATTTGGATTGCACATTTTTGGCTATTAAATGAAACATGCTGCTATGAACTTCTGTGTACAAGGCTTTACATGGATATATATTTTTCATAGCTGTTGGATAAACACCTAGAAATGGAATTGCTAGGTCACATGTGAAGTATATACTTAAGTTTATAAGATACTGCCATACTGTTTTCCAGAGTGTCTGTACACTTTACATTCCCACCAGCAATATATGAGAGTTCAAGTTGCTCCACATCCTCACTACCACTAATTTTCAGTTTTTTTTTCCCTCTAGAGCTTACATTTTATCCAAATAGAGAAATACTCATAATTACAATATAGTGTGATTAGGACCAAAAATGTCACTCTTTTTAAATGTTAGCCATTCCAGTGGGTGTGTAGTGGAATGTCACTGTAGTTTTAATTTGCATTTCTTTGAATATCTTTTCATGGGCTTATTCTCTATCGGCATATCTTCTTATTTATTTATTTATTTATTTTTAAAGATTTTATTTATTTTTTGACAGAGAGACACAGCGAGAGAGGGAACACAAGCAGGGGGAGTGGGAGAGGGAGAAGCAGGCTTCCTGTCGAGCAGGGAGCCCAACGCGGGACTCGATCCCAAGACACTGGGATCATGACCTGAGCTGAAGGCAGCCGCTTAACGACTGAGAACCCAGGCACCCCGGCATATCTTCTTTTTTAAAGTGTGCAGATCTTTTACCCATCTTTAATTGGATTATTAGTCTTTTTACTATTGAGTTGAAGGAGAGATATGTATTATGGATACAAGTCTTTTGTTTTAAAAAATATTTTCTCGCATTTGGTGGCTTGCCTTTTCATTTTCTTAATAGTTTCTTTGGAAGAGCAAAAGTTCTTAATCTTGATGGAGTCCATTTCATCTTTTTTTTTCTTTCATAGCTTGTGCTTCTTTGTATCCTAAGAAATCTTTGCCTAACCCAAAATCACAAAAATTTTCTATTTTTCTTTCCTGAAAGTTAATAGTTTTTGCTGTTACATTTAGGTCTGTGATCAACTTTGAATTAATTGTGTCTATAGTGAGAGATATGCATCATGATTTGTTGTTCTCCATGTGGTTATCTCATTGTTCCAGCATCAGCGGTTGAAAAAAAAACTTTCACTCTATTACCTTGGCTCCTTTGTTCAAAATCAGTTGACATGTAAGTTTGGGTCTATTTTTGGACTCGACTGTCTTGTTTTATGTCTGTCTGTCTATCATTATGCCAATACCACACCATCTTGATTTCTGTAACTTTGTAATAAGTCTTGAAATCAGGTAGTGTAAGTCCTTCAACTTTGTTGTTCAAAACTGTTTTGCATATTCTAGATCTTCTGTCTTTCCGTATGAATTTTTAAATCAGTTGTTTGGTTGGAATTGTACTGATTCTAAAGATAAATTTTTTTTAAAGATTTTTTATTTTTTTTTATTTAGGAAAAGAGCTCGCAATCGGGGGAAGGAGCAGAGGGAGAGGGACAAGCAGACTCCACACTAAGTGTGGAGACTGACACAGGGCCAGATCTCAGGACCCTGAGATCATGACCTGAGCTGAAACCAAGAGTCAGTTGCTTAACTGACTGAGCCATCTAGGCGCCCTCTAAAGATAAATTTTGGAAGGTTTGCTATTTGAACAATATTAAGTCTTTGAAGCCAATGAACATGAAACCATGGGCATGGTATTTCTCTTTATTTAGGTTGTCTCTAATTTCTCTTTGCAACGTTTTGTAGTTCTCAGTGTAGAGATCTCGCATGTCTTTCATTAAATTTATTCTTAAGTATATTATTTTTTCATTCTATTTTATTGTAAATTGGGTTTTTAAAATTTTTATCGGGTAATTGTTCATGGCTAGTATATAGAGATACAGTTGAATTTTGTATATTAACCTTATATCCTGGAACTTTGCTACATTAACTTATTAATTCTAGTAGTTTTGTTGAAGGTTCCTTAGAGTTTGCTACATGCATGATCATGTCATCTGTCAATGAGGACAGTTTTTCTTAAATTTTCACCCATATGCCTTTTATTTATTTTTCCCCTTATTGTGTTAGCTAGGTACTCCAATATACTGTTAAACAGAAGTAGTGAGAGTGGACATCCTTGCCTCATTTCTGATCTTAGAAAACACAGAGACTTTCATCATTGAGTATGATTTTAGCTGTCAGTTTTCATCTGGTTGAGGAAGTTACCTGCCTTTAATCATGAAAAGAGTATTGAATTTTGTCATATGCCTTTTCTGCATTTATTCAAATGATTGTGTTCATTTTCTCTTTTAGTCCAGTATGGTAAATTGCATTGATTTTCAGAAGTTAAACCAACCCTGCATTCCCACGTTAAGCCCCACTTGATTGTGATGAATTTTCCTCTGTATACACCATTGGATTCAATTTGCTAATATTTTGTTTAGGATTTTTGCAATTTATGTTATGTTCTTGAGGGACATTGATCTATAATTGTCTTTTCTTATGGTATCTGTATCTGCTTTGATATTAATACTGACCTTATAAAATAAATTAAGTATTGTTCCCTTCTTTATTTTCTGAAAATTTATAGAATTGATTTTGTTATTTTCTTAAACATTTGATGATAGACTATACCAGGGAAGCCATCTGTGTCTTCAGTTTTCCTTAAGGGAAGTTTTTAAATTATTAATGCAATTTCTTTAATTGCTATAGGGTTATTTGGGTTAACTCTTTTTGGGTCACTTTTGGTCATTTCTGTCTTTCAAGGAATTTGCTAATTGCTAAATTTATGAGCATAAAAGTTTTTATAATATTCCCTTACACTTTTTTTTTTTTTTTAAAGCTTTTACTAATTTATTTGTCAGTGAGAGAGAGCACAAGCAGGGGGAGCGGCAGGCAGAGGGAGAAGCAGGCTCCCCGCTGAGCAAGGAGCTGATGCAGGACTCGATCCCAGGACCCCGGGATCATGACCTGAGCCGAAGGCAGAGGCTTAACTGGCTGAGCCACCCAGGTGTCCCTCCCTTACACTTTTAATAGCTACAGGATCTGTAGTGATATGCCCTTATTCATTCTTGATACTGATAAATTTTGGCCTCTTTTACTTTCTTTTTTTCTCCCTTGATCAGTATTGCTAGAGGACTAGTAATTTTATCAGTCTTTTTAAAGAACACCTTTTGTTCTTTAATTAATTTTAGTTCTTAAGTCTTTCCTTCCTGTTTATTTTAGATTTCATTTGCTATTCCTTTTCTAGCCTTTTTAAAAGAATTTATTTATTTATTTGACAGCGAGATAACACAAGCAGGGGGAGTGGGAGAGGGAGAAGCAGGCTCCCCGCCAAGCAGGGAGCCTGATGTGGCGCTCAGTCCCAGGAGCCTGGGATCATGACCTGAGCCAAAGGCAGCCGCTTAACCAACTGAGCCACCCAGGCACCCCTTTTCCTAGCTTTTTAAAAGATCTATTTATTTATTTATTTATTTATTTATTTATTTATTTGAGAGAGCGAGGGCATGTGCACACGCACTCACACGTGAGTTGGGGGAGAAGCAGAGGGAGAGGATCTCAAGCAGACTCCTCCCTGAGCAAGGAGCCCATCGTGGGGCTCCATCTCACCACCCAATGAGATCATGACTTGAGCCAGAATCACAAGTCAGATGCTTAACCAACTGAGCCACCCAGGTATTGCTTCTTAAGGTGAAAATTCAGGTTATTGAGTTTGATTTCTTTTTCTAACACAGTCATTTAAAGCTACTAATTTACCTGTAAATACTCTTTTAACTACATACCAAATTTTGCTCTGTGGTATTTTCATTATTCTTCAGTTCAAAATATTTTCAAATTTCTCTTGTGATTTCTTCTTTGACTTGTTGATTATTTAGAAGTATATTAATTTCCAAATATTTGTGTTTTTCTCTTGATCTTAGTGTTACAGATTTCTAATTTAATTCCATTGTGGCCAAAGAATATTTTTTATATGATTCTAATCTTTTTGAATTTATTTATTTATTTATTTTTTAAAGATTTTATTTATTAATTTGACAGAGAGAGAGAGAGAGTGAGAGCAGGAACACAAGCAGGGGGAGTGGGAGAGGGAGAAGCAGGCTTCCC